GGGGGGGAGCAGAAACATACTCGGTGAGCACTCAGCACTGACTGCATAAGCCGATGTCCGTCAGCGGATGTTGAGGGGATAGCGCCAGCTGCTGGTATAGCAGCTCCGTCTCCTCCTAACGCTAAATTCTCCTTATTATCTTCGGGCCCTTCATTTCCGGGCTCCACAAGGTCGAGAGGATCACGAGACCAATAGGGGCCAAACAGGAGAGACCGGAGTTTTTGCAGGCCGCGCTTATGCGCCGTCTCATATTCAGCAAGGGAAAGACGTTGGCGAAGCTTCTTCATCTCTAGAGGCTCGTTGTTACCACCATCCGCTTCTTCTTCGGCACCGCCTCCATCTGCGTCGATGCCTTCGTCGTCGGACAGGTAACCGTGGGGCACAAGGAATTTGGCATCTTCGTCGTCATCCTCGTCTCCCACATCTTCGTCTTCCTCCTCCTAAGATTAATAAAGACTAAATGGTAAGAATCTATTATAGGGATCGCTAAGTTTCTGTCTTTTTCTCACTAAGGGTGTCAGTAGCGGACATAGTATAATATGTGGATGGACTGCGTCGTCCCCTTGTGTTGAGTGACAGCTGACGCCAAAGTAGTAAAAACAAAACATGCTTACTAGTACGAAATAAGTAGGTAGTTATGCAAAGTAAATTATGCGCGGTTAGCCCTGAATACAGAGTGAGAGAAATTGCACGGACAACGGTCATTTTGGGAGATAAAAAGTAAAAGCCTGTGAAAGGTGCAAAAGTTGGCAGACGAACCTCAGACTGTGTAATGCTCTCCCCTGGCTCCTCCTCTTCCCATTCGTCGTCGGAGTCAACCTCGTAATCTAACTGGAGTCTATCCTTAACGAAGGGGCGTCTGCCGCTGATAACCACACTGCGCCGACGCCAGGTTCCATAGTAGGCCGGGCGGTAGTTTTCAACAAACTGGAATAATTTGGTTTTGGTCCATACAGTGCCACCATCACCAGGATTACCGTGGCCACGGCAAAGGGTGACCGAAGCAGGAATGTTAGAGCCTTCGCCAAGGAAGAGAACGTCGGGCAGCTCGCTACAAACAGAAAGGGCGTATGAGGATGACTGAGAATAGGGTGAGGCTGACTGGCTAAGACAAATAGACCAGAAACTGTCATGTCAGTTTGAATCCCCTTTGTCGGTAACGGGCTGGCCTGATTCGATTATCAACAATACTTTTACGGTTCCTCAGTACGAAACAGCCTAAAATAGATAATAACTCGCCGATTAGAAGTAATGCATGACCAGCTGTCGAACATTGGGTGGAAATCCGTATCGGTAGTTGTAGTGCGTGATGAAACAGATAGCATATCCTAATGAAACTAAAACGTGTGTATACCAATTCCCAAAGCCTGTTCTTTAAATTAGATGAGTCTGAAAGTCACGTATGCCAAATTGTCATCTCTATGACTGAAACATGGTTGTCCACGAAGGCAGACGATTGCGAAGTTGCTTTCCTTGGTTTTTACTTGTTCACAAAGGATCGCGCGGGGCCTCAAGGTGGGGGACCGGGGGGTGGTGTCAGACATAGTCTGCTCGTGTCAGAAAAAACTACAAATCTCGCGCGCAGAACTGACGGTTTACCGACCACCGAGGAACGACCTACAGTCAGACAGGAATTGGAAACATTTGCTGTCCGATCCAATGTCATGATTATGGGCTACTTTAATGTCCCGAATATCGACTAGAATCTGAGTTCTGAGAAGTAACCTTTAATCGCCGGCTCCTTCGAACAGTGCAAAAATCCACCCTAACACAACACGTCTTATCTCCGACCAGACTGTATGAAGAGCGAGAAGCCAAGTGCCTGGATCTTGTACTGACACAAATCTAAAAATCCCATTCAAACTTGTCTCCAAAATATGCTTAAGGATTTTTTTGCTGTCTGTTCTTTTTGTTTTTATTCCCCACTTCACTGACTCGTGTCATTTGACATAGCCAATAAGCTGAGGTCCTATTTACGCAGTAAACATTACACAAGTTGGCTCCCTCGCTGTAAGATTTTGTGTGACTATTTCGTTTCCCCTATCTGCATACATTTGTCAAAGTGCGTTGTATTTAATGTTGCATTTTAAAAAAATGTTGATGTCACAACCTGCATGTAGACGAATAGGGAGTTGAAAGGTGCACACTTTTGGTGGTGGTGGTGGTAGCGAGTGTTAATATTATCATTTGGCTAAAGAGACTAGGCGACACAGCCTGCACAAAGTCATCAACATACTAATCAACCTGACACTCCAAAATGTTACCAGGTTAATGTCCTGAACGTGAAAAGTCGGTGCTTAAGTAACTGGACCACGTGATGTAACAGCAGGGATATACGTGAACTCCATTCAATGTGAGTGGTGAGAGGCAAGTGTCGTTTTCACCATCCTCGTGGCATATATAAGCATCAACAGATAAGTTTGCCCTCGAGATCATCGTGGTCATCATCCGATTGGCCGTCAGAAGGGTGCAAACAGCCAATTGCAAGACAGACTGTTGTGTTATAGAATACCAATGAATAAGTGAAATTGAAGAGCATACATATACATCGGTCACTTGGACAAAGAACAAAAAATGAGAGACTGAAGAGTTAAGATTAGATCTTTGTTAGATAATATGTCGGATGATCTTGTTAAGATGCGCATGTCATGTGAAATTAAGTAGACCACTGAGGCAGAATAATTCTCAATCT